CGCGCGCCGGGCCGGGCCGGGCCGGCTACCTGCTGGCTGAGGGGAATGAGCGCCGCCATCTTCCTCCCGCGGACTCGGGCCGCGGCCGGGGGGCGGGGCGAGTGATAGGCGGGGCTGGCGCGAGCGATGGGTGCGGTGGACTCCCTTCCTCCGTCCCTCGCGGGCGCTGCCAGGCCGGCGGGGCCGAGACGCCGGCTCGTCGGACCTGCAGCGGAGCCCGGCCGAGGCCCGGGCCACAAACGACTGAAACTGCTGCGACTACGACACGCAGCCAGGCCCCAGGACATCGGCCCTTGATTCCCCAGCAGCCCCAGTCGGTCTGCTCCTCCGAGAAGTCAAGTCCAGGCGCTCCTCACTGCTCCGCCTACTACGCGCGGGGATACCTTCCTGATGACTTCTCTTCTTTCATCCACGTGTCCTTGGTTGCTGTTACAACACAAGGCAGCACCCACTTCAGTCTCCTTCCCAGGCCTTCTGCTGTCTCACTCCACTGCTGGTCTCCCCCTTAGCCAGCCCACCCCGTCCATCCCCCCACCAGTCAGACCAGACTCCACACCAGACTCCCCCTTCAAACGCCAGCGTCCCCTGGCCCCATTCTTTACCCAACTTGTCTACCCCCAGCTCCTCACCTTTCTCTCTGTTCAAAAGCTGTTACTAGAAAACATTTGAAGTAACTAAGTCAACATATTACATTGAGGATTATCAGGGCAAGTTCCAGTGCTTGTGTTTCTGAATTCCTGGATAAAAAAAAACATCTGAATTTCAGCTTTTGGACAACACCGGAGACTCACTTACTTAACTCTTAGATCGATGTTGTATCATTTATTTTTACAACATCGTTAGCCTGGAAATGCCAGAGAATAAGAGACAGTACCAGCGTTCACAAGATATGGCAGCTGTTCTGGATTCTCTGAACAAGATGTGGGAAACCCACTTGGATGCATCTAACTTCAGATGCCTCCAAGTCACAGGTCAGCAACACCTCAGGAGCAGTAGGCTGGGATTATTCTTCTGATGCCACTGCTATTACTTCTTCCTGCTGTCCAGGCACCACGCAGATGAAGCTGCAGCATTTTGGGCCAGACAGAATAGCTCCACCAGCCATAGGTTGCCAATCCCTAGCCTAGCCTAGGTAATTAGCAAGGGATAGTAAGTGTTTAGGTAAGATAAACCAGGCTTCTTCCCCCTCTTCTCCATCCGTCCATCCCCTTCAAAAAGCTGCGTTCCTAAAAGAAAATAATAGCTACCTGAAGGGAAGATCCCTCTGGTAGATCTGCAAAGGAAACATGATGGATACAGGGAGCCAGGTAGTCATTTTAGTCAGAAGTCAGTCAGAAAGGAGGGCAGATATTCACCTTTAGAAACTAAGATTTCACTCAGGTTAACCTAACACAGACCAGTTTGTGATGGATTTCTTGTTCCCACAATTTCCCATTCAGATGGGTTATTCATTTTTGTCTTGGGGTTTGTTTGGGTTTTTTTGCTTGGGAACAGCAATCCTGAGGTCAGCAGTGGAGTGGGCAGGAGTTCTGCCACAGGCTTTTGTATCTTTCTGCAGCCGATACAGAGTACGATAGCAAAAGGCCGCCTTTGGGAGTGAGAGGACTGGACATTCCATCTTCAGAGAAGCAAAGTCAACACCCAAAGTAACACATTCAAAGTCTAATGTGCAGTAAAGCTTTCCCTGTAGAGACCCACTCAGTATAAATCACCCTTCACTGAGAGATACTTTACCAAATCTTAATACATTTGGTATTTTTATTGACTTCCATTTCAATTTAACATTCTTAGAATCAGAAGCCTTACTTCTTAATAAAATATTTGAAAAAAAAAAAAAAATCTATAAATTAATAATATTTTAGCCAAGCTCTCAAAAAAAAGATTTAAATAACATTGGTGAGTGCTTGTTACTAAGGGAGGGTAGAAGGAGGGAACAGGACAGCAAAACCTTTATAGCAGATATATATAAAAAAAAAAAAAAGCAAACCATTTAGATAGTTTCACAAGTAAGAATTAAAGCTCTTCCTTCTGGACAGTATTCCTCCTTAACTTTTTCTTTCCTGATTCTTTTTTCTTTTCTACCTTCTTGTTAAGCCTTTCCCTGAAGTGTTTTTCTTCTTCTGCCCTTTCCCTTTTCTTTTCTTCCTCAGTCTGTTTTATGTTCATCACCTTTTCAGGGTCCTAAAGGGAAAAGGACATGGAGGGGTTTTTTTGTCCAAGTCGGCAAGCCCTTCTGTTCATTGAGCTTGACATTTAAGTCAATGGTAAGGAGTTCTTTATAGAGAAATTGCAAGATTAAGGCCTTTGTTAGTAACAAGCATCCAAGATTTTTCAAGTTGTGTCTATGGCTGGCAAAGGCTTGTGGGGGGAAAAGTGAGTGCACTTTTCCAGCTTTATGCCAGTTTTGGGCCCCGTAGCAACTCAGAAGTAAGCGTAAGACAGTACTAGCCCCTGCAGAGGGAGATTCTAGGTACTATATTTATTCAATGTTTCACAAAGAAGCTGCTTTTAAAACGTGCAGTAACTTAGGCTTGTGCTGAAATAAGAACTTGATACTCATACAGCCAACAAACTCACGCTCATTTAAACAAAGATTCATTATTCCATGCACAGATTGTATGCTTGGCAAGTGTTTCAGAAAGATGAGAATCAGTCCATTTGGTTTTAAGCAACTTTTTCTCTCTCCTGACCCTGAGCTGCTCTAAGGGCTAGAGACCTCTGGCAATTTATTCGGACCCCCTAATGGACTGCAGTCCTATTTGGAACCTCCACAGAACTGTACATTCCTTTTACAAGGGTTTGAGAGGAGATCCTAAAAAAGCATCTTAATAGTTGTCTTTATACTGTTTGTGTCTGGGGACATTCCTTCTTTGACACAATAAAAAGCCTGTAAGACAGACCCCTTTACATAACTCCAGTCCTTTTACTTGATAATGAGTGGCTAAAATAGGAATAAGGATTTCATTCATTACCTTGGTTTCTCCCCAGGTTTCATATCCAAAATCTTCTGCATATTCTTCATCATCTGTGATCAAGAAATTATCAAAAATGGTTCCAGCTCTCACCTTGAATGGAAGGAGAGAACGTTGGGTGGAAAAAGTTAAGCTAAAACTGTATTGTCGGGGAACTTGATTATTCCTTTTCATGACTAAAATTCCGGATGCTGCTGAATTCTACATTTTGCACAATCCCAAGAATGCCACAGTTATGTGGCTGCAGAATTGTACTCCAGAATGTAAGGCCTTGTCATTTCTTTAAATAAAAGATGGACACTTTAGACCTTTTTTATTTCCACATTTGTCCATAGTAGCTTGGACTACTAGTTTGGAAGAAAAAATATGTACCTATCATCATACTATACTTGAGCGTAAGTAAAGTATGCACTGAAGAGCCACATTTAGTGAAGTATAAAGAACATTTATAAAAACACAAGAACATTATTCCCTCATTTTTCATTAAATCTCAAAGTCATCAGCATTAGAGCTGTTGTGTAATTAGATCTGTTTAATGCAATATTTGACTTTATGTAAAATGCAGCCAATTACATATTTAAATGAAGGCAAGTGGGGGGGGGGCAGGGGGATACAGGCATTAGCTAACCCTACAGTTTCTACACATTTACAGAAAAAAGTTTGACAAACACCTCTGTACAGGAAAGGAATGGAATAAGTACTTTAATTTCTAGTTACCTGCAAGAATTTAAGACAACTGACCTGCCAAATATCTAGTCCTATGACACCAATGTTCTCATAGCTGAGAATGTTGAAGTCTGGCAAGTAGTTTGGATTGTCAATCTGCGGATGGGGCCAAACTCCTTTATAATTAGGGTTATCAATCTTCCTTGGTTTCCATTCACCCTACAACAAACCATATAATTCTCGATACCTTTGGCCAAAAGAACAAGCAGTTTAAAGAAGTTATCCATAACTAGAATGATTTTACTCTGTACAGTGGATTCTTGATCATAGGGTGTCGCCATTCTCCATCAGTTGCATTGTTCCAGTCTTTAGATCTCTCGGCACTAGTGTCTGGAATGTATTCAGGTTCATCCCAATTCTTTAAAATACATAGGAATAAAGAAGATAGCAAAATTAACACAACTTTATATACATGCAAGAGATATTACCCAACCAGTTCAAGAAAGAAAGAAAAATATACCTATTATCCTTTTTTAAAAGGATAAACAAATTAATCTGTCAGAAAAGGAAAAGCCTCATTTGCCAAGGCCCCTGGCAGATGTCAATTAAAGGTGTGACAGGATTTGATCTGAGATCCCAGCAATTGGGCCTCCTACCATGCGACGTGTATGGCAGGGGGTGTGATAGTGGGATTGGGGAATCAGAACCCGACCTTGCTCTGTTGCCAGTGCAGGAGGCATCCAAAACCACAATCCCAGGCTCCCCCTGCACCCATAAATAGCAAGCTGGGCGCTCAAGTCTCCTCCCATGGCTGGGAATGCCAGTCAGCGCTAGCCACACATTCAATTAAAGGGAAAAAAGGACACCAGCTACAAAGTTACTACATATATTTTTTGTAATAACTTTGTGTCTTATTTGGTTTTATTGTGCTGTTAATTGTACAAACTGGCTAATTAGCGATCACATTAAATATAACATCTGCCAGCAGCCTAAATCACCAAACGCCAAAGATCTCAGTTTCATAAGCCTAACAAAACTGGGATGGCATGTGGGTGTGGTACATGTAGGTTAATGCTACTTGCATTTCAAAACTCACAAGCAAAGTTTGAAATGGTTTAATACAATCCTGTCCTGGTCATTTGGTTCTAGGAAACATACAGGAAGCAATGTTTTCTGGAAAGTTTTACTAGATCAGTAATTCTAATTAACACATTTCACAAGGTGAACCCAGAGATTTTAAAAAGGAATGCAGCTGTTGCTGTGTTGCTGAGTTATTTTCAACAGAGTTGCTCCATTATTTTTCTGCAGTCAAGGCATGAAAGCCAAGAGCTGGCATTTTCCAAGTGATGCCTTGAGTCTAAAAAAAGGTTGAGAGCCACTGTACTCAATACCAGCCTCCTTATGCATTGCTAGTAATGCGTATGAAGGCTGCTATCTAGTCCCCACCACAGGACCCAGGTAAAGCACTTGCATCAAGTAATTAGCTTTGCATGATATGCAGCTTCTCTTCAGAGAATCACGTGACCTAGACAGTTCCTCTACGTTCCAACCTTCCAGAAGAGAACCA